GGCTCTTGTAGGGTAGTATAGTTTGAATAAGAAGTTGGCTAGGAAGTTAATGAGAGAAAGAAGACTTTATAATACCCTTGCAGGGTATAAAATTCTAGTATGAGGTTAGCACGGAAGTTAAGGATAGATGGGAAAAGACCTTATTATACCCGAAAGGGTATTAACATTTTAGTAAGAAGTTTGTGGGAAACTGAAGGAGTCAGTTTTAACTCTATAAATCATATATATTCATATTATTGGATAAAAATATAATACATCTTTGTTGTTTCTCAACATATTTCCATCTATGTAGATTTCACCAAATTTATAATATATCTGGCATTAAAAAAAATAGAAGAATTAAAAGGAAAATAATATGGAAATACTCTAAAGGCTGTAGCTTCCCTTTCTTTTTATTTAAAGGTTATATTTCTTGCCTTTTTCTTAAAGGTCAAACCTTCTAGCAACAATAGCTTCCCGATATTTCCCAAGTAATATAATAACTTTAATTGTTTACCATTGGTTAATCAATTAACCTTGACTTATAAAGAGAAAAAAAAAATACATTTTTTATGCCTAGAAAACCGCACTCAAATCTCTTTAGTGCATTATTTCAATCAATTATTGCAAACAAACGCAGTTATTTCCAGGCAAAATGCCTGCCCTCACCCATCACCTGGCATTTTTTATTCGCATAATTTTATTATAAATATTTTTCCAGCCCCCAAAACTGCCTTCACTTCTTCCGGGGCTGCGCGCATGCAAATTAAATTTACATTTATTTTTCGTGACTCGATGCAAATTTACGCAATGCGAGACAGGTGGCGGCAGAAGGGGGGGTCACTGCGGGATTTAAGGGTGGGCGGGGGGCGGGGGGCGGTGGGCGTGGTCCCGCCTGTCTCCGCGCGCTGCACGCTCAGCACGTTTATTCGCACTTAATTCGCACTTTTTGACACCTTTTGTGCGTTCGTCCCCCGGATCCCCGGCGAAAAGTAAATACGAGCCCTTCTCCTCGCTTGTCAGCAGCATAATGTGCAATGTGTCCAGAGAGAAAGGCGCGAAAAATTATGCAAAATAAATTAATTACCAATTAGGGGGTTTGGGTGGGTATGCGGCACAGCTGTTGTCCGGGGATTTCAGCGCACAGCACACACACGCACTCGAGTCCGGGGATTCCCCGTGATTGCCACCCCGCACCCGATACTTTAGGGGTTGCAATTTGGTGGAAATCGCCGATGTGCGTTTGTCACATGAGTCGAGCTCAAGCCCCGCCACTAATTAGTGTCATTAAAAGCGCTCCACATGAGAGCGAAGGTAGGAAAAGTGCATAAAACATGACACAAAATTGCAGCTCGGCCAAATAAATAAACCATAAACATAACTGACCGCAGAAATCAACTTAATTCCAAGAGGCTCTCCTGCTCTCCTGCCCCCCGGGCAATACAGTGGTAGTGACTTCCGTTGACTTGCGTGCAAACGTGTAATTTCCAGCGGAGACTTCCCCCCGATCGAATTGGGGTTAAAAAGGGTTTAAGTTGCGACAAACTTGGGTCACATGCATATGCATAATTACAGAGTGCCTCGTCCGGAACGGAATGGCATTCGGTTCCCTGCTCTAGCTTCCCAGCTTAACAAACTAAACTGTGAAAATGCCACAGGGGCCAAGGCATACACACACCGCTGACCGGAATACGATCCTGGGCACGTGAAATTTGAATATTGATTGGCTTTAATGAGCGTCGTTGGTCGCGCAATTAGTTTGCAAAAGGGGGGTTTGGGTAGTGTAGTTCCTTCCCCCCGGAAGTTCAGGGCTGGAACTTCAGAATTAGGAGCAAGTCTGGGATATGCCCCCTGCTAGGATCACTCAAGAGAGAGAGAGAGGGGGAAACTCTAACTAAACTAATTGCAAGGACAGTCCAGTCCAGACCAGTCCAGTCAGTCGTTCTGCGGGGGAGTCAATCAATCAATCAGGCTGAGAGATCACTTGCCTGGCGACGCCTATCTACCAAATTGGATGCAAATTGAAAAGCATTTTGTGGGAATGTAATGCATAAATTAATTGGCCAACCCACAGAGAGCAAGAAAAAGCGGCAAAACTATGAATCCGCAATGAGCGGGGCAGTGTCTGACGATAAAGCAACGCCGCGGCGCTAAAATTGTGCAATTGAAAATGAAAATCTAATATGGATGCGTTTCCTAGCGGCGTTTAGAATTCCATTTCATTTGTCTAAACTAAATAACAATGCAGTCTGGTGCAGCCGGTGGAGTCTGTGGAGCTGCAGCTGCCGGAATTGAGTTTTGATGCGCTGCATCAGCCCCCCGTGTCCATGTCCATTCCCTTTTCCCACTCCCACTCCCATCTGCTCTGGCCAGTTCATCCATCCCTGTTATTGTTTGAAACGTCGCGTTAAATTTACATAAATTGATTTGATTGAATTTTTATGAGTCGGCTCTGCCGAGTCCAGTGCTGACTGACCACCACCTCATCCTGCATGTGCTTGGAGCTCTCCATTGGCCCGGCGGCTGATGACTTTTCGGCGGTACAACTCCGGCAGCCGTCTAATTAAAGTCATTTCCAGCTGCTGTTGCTGCTGCAGCTACTGGCGAACCCTTTGCCTCTGTGCCAAATCCAAGCCCCAACCCATTATCATCCGCTCTTGGGGCCGTGGTCAAGTCGAGGTCACAGTTGGCGCTACATGGTGCAGGGCTTAATGCGGGCCATTTGGCCCGGACCAGCATTGGACACGGACGAGGGCAATCAACGGAAAGAGAGGCGGCCAAAAGCAGAACCAGACACACAGCGCACATTGTGTCCAAGCGGTAATCTCGGTGGGGCCGAAGGGGGGGTGGCTATGGCTGCACCCGGAGAAAAAAAAGGATCAGCAAAGAGGGTTTACAGGAGCATATAGGCCTACGAAAAGGTTGCTAAAGGGACTTGATTTAAGATAGGTAACATTGCCTTAGCAAATACTATGCAATTCTATGAAAATATATAATTTCAACATGACCAGGTTCTATCTAGTTTTTTTCCAGTGTTAAGCGGCTGCAACATGGCCGAGGCATTGCATATTTTTAGGGTTTCCCCCGGTCGTTGGCTGAAATTTGCACATTGCAACAAACTATTTAGCGCCGACGATGGTTTAAGAGTTGAGAAGAGGTTGGGGGGGGGCACGGCAGGCGGGGTGGCGCCAATTTGTCATAAATCTCGTTATTTTAAATCGCCGTTTTGCATTCCATGTGTGTGCTCGGAGAATGGGAATGGGGAGAAATGAAAATGGGAACGTTCGGGCCTTTGTTTGCATTGATTTGTTGTTGGCTTTTCGCAGTTAACGTTATCAAAAGCGGGCCAGTCGGGGGCATAAACTATATTTTGTGGGGGGGAAAGAGAACTATTTAAGGATATCCTCAATTATTACTATTACTTTTCCTTTTCCTTTAATTAAAGCCAAAGCTGTGCTTTTGATATAAAATGAGCAAATTTAAGGTCCTGATTTTATACTTATTTTGGAGAATATTAAGTGAAATTATAATTTTATTTTATAAATATATAATTTTATTATTTTTCTTATAAGACAATAAGCCCTGCCCTATAATTATTATTAGGTTTTCCAAAAATAATTAAAATAATTTTTATTTTAATATGAGAATTCCTTTTAATACATTTTATTTGTTAATATAAATAATTTTAGTTTTAATAATTATATTATTTAATTCAATGGAGTATCTTTGTTACTTACAGTACATTTTATTTAAATATAAATTTACATTTTAGCCTATTTAAATATGTTTTTACAAGTGTTTTTGTTTTATATATTTTATGTATTATATTTGCATTTTAAATTTGCTTTTGCTTATTTCGTTCTTAAATGGCAAAGAGATCAAGGTAAACCCATGGCGATCGCTAAAAATAGACACTTTTGCAAAACGGAGTAAAATTCGCTCTCCCAGGGTTCCAGCTGGGCTTTTCGCTAGCGCTGACCTTGTACCGAGCTGGCTCGTTGGTCTAGAGGTATGATTCTCGCTTCGGGTGCGAGAGGTCCCGGGTTCAATTCCCGGACGAGCCCAAGTTTCCTCCGGTTTTTTTTATACATTTTTTTATTATTAATTTTTTTTGTATTGCTTTTCTATATTCCAAGCCGCGTGATGCAAGGTCATTGCTGATGCATTTAAATATAAATATATATAAATATAAAAAACTGCAGCCCCAAAGTATGCCACAAAATGGCGATCGTTGGCTCAGGGGCGCCACTTGGCCCGCTGTGTCCAGCTTTGCAACACTCGCGGCCAGGCCACAGCTGTCGAGTGCCGTTACACGGTTGAAGCGTGGCGGCATTTACCAACACTGTTTTTACCAAGAAGCCATCGCTTCGAGAATATTTTAAGGTTTCGCGAAATAACGCAAGAAAACTCGAGAAAAGTTCGGGGAAAAGCCAAGGAAAGTCAACATGGACTTCCTCTACAACGCCAGCTTGCGCGAGGACAATGAGCGCATCAATTCCTTCAACTTGGACAAGTTTTTCGTTCCCCATTTGCCATCGTTCGTCAACATGGACTTGCCCTACAACGCCAGCTTGCGCAAGGATGATGAGCGCATCAATTCCTTCAACCTGGACAAGTTTTTCGTTCCCCATCCGCCAGCGATCGAGCAGCGGCAGTGGCTTGCACCGCGTTTGGTGCTGTCGCCATCGCCGATTCAGCAGGAGCCATCGAAGCCACAAGAGGCCTTTATGCCCGGTTATTGGCTAAATATCGATGAATCCGTTGTGAGATATACACATATATTTATTTTTTGTGATGACTTAAAGACTAAATACTCTGGAATTCTGCATTTCAGAGTCCCAGAGAGTTGTTTACATTCTGTACAGGCATGTGTCTGTGCACTCAAGTCGGAAAATCAGCTTTTCACTGCCTTGAGGGTGTTTGAAAAACAATATTTATAGTTTAAGAACATAAAAAAAAAGAATACATTCATATATTCCATTCACTAATTCCAACCGTTTCTATATTCCGCTCTCTTCCAGATGATGACTATGGACATAACCAAAACCGAACCCGGACTAGTCGGGCTTTCCTCTAACCAACAGCAGCAGCAGCAGCAGCAGCAATCCCAGCAGCAGCAGCAGAACGCCGGAATGAACAGCCAGAACAACGGACCCAATCCCAATAGCAATGGGAACAACAATAACAATGGCCATGGCGGCGTTGTTAACGTGGTCAACTCTGGCGGAGGCGGCAATGGCAGTGGCGGCGGCAATGGCAATGGCAATGTCCAAAGCATAGCCGCTGCTGCCAACAACAATAACAATAATAACAACAATGGCAGCCAACTATGCGCCGGCTGCGGCAAGCACATCCAGGATCGGTATCTTCTCCGGGCCCTGGACATGCTGTGGCACGAGGATTGCCTCAAATGCGGCTGTTGCGACTGCCGCCTGGGCGAAGTGGGCTCCACGCTGTACACCAAGGGGAACCTGATGCTCTGCAAGAGGGATTATTTGAGGTGGGTTTGTAAATCCTCCTTGATCTTAGAGTTGATTTTAATAAAAATTTCATGTTTTTATAGATTATTTGGAAACACTGGCTACTGTGCCGCCTGCAGCAAGGTGATCCCTGCCTTCGAGATGGTAATGCGTGCCCGCACCAATGTCTACCACCTGGAGTGCTTCGCCTGCCAGCAATGCAACCACAGGTGAGCCGACAAAACCTAAATCGAAGCGATCTTCAAGCAAATTTCCCATGCATTTTTATGGGCAATTTGCACACACAGAGATTCGCCCATAAATTCAGGCCCCCGCTTTTAATCTTTGGCCCAAAGTGGCACTTGAAGTTTTTATTAACGTGCCGGCAAGCGGCAAATTGCCATCGTTTACAAGCTAACATCAAGCAAGGGAGTCGGGGAGGATGGGTGGCTGGGTTTGCTCCCTGCAAACCCCTTTAGTGTCATACATTTTCTATGAAAACCGCATAAATTTCACATTTCGAATCGAACCCTTTTGGGTGCCGTCAAGTCATCGTCCCCGTCTTTCCGTCTCCTCGAATATTTTATGGAACTTGGCCAATTCGTGAAATGTCACTCTGGAGAGCTTTAAAATGCAACGGACTCCGGCTCCGGCTCCGTCTCCGTCTTCTTCCCCTTTTTGGTCAGCTCGGTTTCGTTTTCGTATTCGTTTTCGTTTTGGGGTTCTCCTGCATTAATAATGAGGGCGTACATATGCCTCCTGTCTCAGTCCTCGTCGATTGTGCAACATTGGGAGCGGCGGAACATTAAATATTTAAAATGCCGCCACACGGCATCGTTGGCCGAAAAAAATATTGAAATAAATGTTAAAACATATTGGCAGATTGTGAGAATCGTCGCCACCCCCCACTGGGCCTTGGCTTTGGCCTTTGTTTGTGGATTGTCGAACAAAAAAAAAAAAAAAAAAAACAATGGTTCTTTAAAAATGCAATGTGGCTAGCAAAGACTTTATAATAAAAATATGCATAACGACCATATTTAATTTGCTATTTTTCTAAAAGTCACAAATGTGTGCATTTCTCTTTGCTAAAATAGAAAGCCCTTTTATGTGTAAGTGCGTATGTGGGCATATAGATCTAGAATGATTTTTTACAGGAAAAAAAGGAGTAGAAAATATTGCATTAGCGTTCCAAATCTCACCTCTGGTTTTCTCATAGATAAAACTTACTTTGAAACTCTCCCCCTAGATATGTTTATTCTCAGTCAAGTTATGTGTTTGAAATCCAATGGAATTTCCCCCACTTCCCACCCAGTTATGCGTGCTCGTCCTCCTGCCTTCCTGTCGCTTTGCTAATCAATTTTTCACGAAAATTAATTCAATTGCCGAAAAAATCCATTGAGGCGTGGCCGTATGGCCAGCGGCCAGGCCCAGCTCCAGCACCTTCCTGCTTTTTGGCCACATTTAAAATGCGGGCTTTCATTTTTGCCAAACAACAAGAGTTTTTCCAGCGGATTTCTGTTCGGGAAATGTATTGCAAAATGCATTGCAGTCGTCGTTCGCCGTTTGTCGTTTTGCCGGGGCCTGTGTGAGGTTTGCATAATTTCCTGTCGTCAGCAACGGACGACGACTTGCCCCATACCAAGCCAAGCCAAGTCAAATCTTTGGTCCAGGCGCTCACCAATTTTTTCCGCAATATTCCCGGCTCTTATTTTATGTTGTTGTTGTTTTTTCATGTATTTTTTTTACGTATTTCCCTGATTTTTGTCGCTGTTTTTTTTTTTTTGGTTGTACTTCCTGTTGACAATTTGCTGTTGGCTTCTTGTGCGGGGGCTGGCCTGATGCCCGGATGTGCGAGGCACTCACTTATCAACATGTCCGTGCGCCGTGTCCATGTCCATTTCCAACTCCATTGCTCCATCGACCATGTCACAGGTGCGCTCAATGCCACACACACACACACAGACACGAGCGAAAAATCAACCGTCAGCGTTGAAAAAGAAGAAAAAGTTTCGACTTTGTTGACTCTTTTTCGTGGACTTTTGCTGCTTTGTTTTGGTTGATAAACAAAGCGATGTTTTTTCCCCACGGCCACGCCCCCACGAGCCCCGTCAATCGATTTGGCCAAACGCAACTGAAACCAGCAGCAGAAAAATAAAGAGAAGCGAAATGTTGACGTAAATCAAAAGCCAAATTTCATATCCGCTGTAAGTCGGCTGTAAGCTGATTTACCCAAACCAGGCAGATCCTTGCCCCAAAGGATGCAACTCTAGCTGCCGCAGGTACTTGTCAAACTTTAAACGTTTCGTTTTTTGTGTGAAGAAAGAGCCTAGGGAAGAGTATTGCAGCTGAAGATAGGATAGAAAGAGAGTCTAGTAGAATGCCTTGTCTAGGAATACACTTGCTGGGCTTTCACATGGGCTTATCCGCTCAAAGCCATCTCTCCAGGACACATCCTCCACTTGTTTGCCACATTTTTTGGTTGGTAAAACCCAGAGGAAGAGCTCGCTTTTCCGCTCTCTATGTTTGCTGATGTGGTTGCAGGAGTAGCAGTAACAGTAGGAGTAGGAGTTGGTGTTGGTGTCGAAGCTATAGCTCCTCTGTCCTCTGAACAGGTGCCAACATAAATATTTTGACAAGGGGCGGGCTCGCATGGCAACTTTATTTGCTCAGACTATAGGGTAACCCGGGGACAAACTGTTGCTGACAGCAGAGCGACATCTTGCCAGGCTTATCTGACTTCCTGGTCCCAGAAGTGGTCCTGTTCCTGTTCCTGCTCCTGCTCCTGCTCCTGCTACTATTCCGTCTCGTCTCCTGTTGTACCGCCTTTTGTTTCAGTTTCATCTACAGTAACCGCTGTCAATTGTCGCCATTGTCCCCTGCCTAAGCGTGTGGAAAAATCGTTTCCACTTCCTCCCTTCAACCTGAAAGAAAAACCCATACTAACCAGTGTCCTTTTTTCTATGCTCTCCATTACAGATTCTGCGTGGGCGACCGCTTCTACCTGTGCGAGAATAAAATACTCTGCGAGTATGACTACGAGGAGCGGCTGGTTTTCGCCTCGATGGCCAATCATCCGATGCTCAAGCGCCATGTCTCCTCGCTGGGCCAGGGCTCGCCCACGGGAGCGACTGGTGGTCAAAATGCTGCCGGCGGACTTCTGGGCGGCGGTCCCGGCACCAATGTCAATGGTGTCGGTGTCGGCGTCAATGTGGGCATGGTCAATGGCCCACGCACACCCGGCGATCACAATAACAACAACGGTCCGCAGACACCGACTGGCGGCGGCTCGCCGTTTGCCGCAGCAGCAGCCGCCGCTGCCGCCGCTGCTCACATGAAGAATCAACTGGGAGCGTCCAGCTAAAATAAAGCCCTGGGCATGGGCGCTGCTGGAGCTGGGACAGGATCTGGAGTGGGCTTGGGTGTGGGAGCCCTGGGAGTTGGTGCGGCAACGCAGCAGTTTTACAGCGGCTTTGGACTACAGCACCAGCACCAGCAACAACAGCAACAGCAGCAGCTCATGGGCATGGGCCTGGGTTTGGGCGGAGGAGCAGGATCCTCTGGAGGCGGAGGAGGAGGAGGAGCAGCAGCAGGAGGAGGCGTTGGCAGCATCGGCAGCGGCTGCAAGCGCTACCAAAGAAAGTTCTACAATCGCAACTGAGCGAAAAACGCCGAGGAGACCGAGGAAAGGATGCAGAGAAGCACAGATGCAGATGCTGAATCGATATTGAAATCTTCGTTTGCTTTGACTGAGTTCAAGTTTTATAGTTTTAAATGCGTTATTTTTAAGTTAGCGTTTAAGCAAATCGCTTGCTGAAGTTGCAGACATTTGTAGGTCCTAAAAAATCTAAGCGACATATTTTTTTTCTCTCCATTTTACTTTCTGTGTCCCCTCGAGACCTGTAAATAACTTTCTTTGTGAACTGTTGAATTTTTAGCGCGAGCCTCATTTATCTCAGATTTTTCTTTATCCTTTTATAGATATACTGTATTTATCTATGTATATGCGTATGAATAATTTTATTTTCACGCTCGAAGCGTGCGGTGCCAAAACAAATTCAAAGCAGTGCCAAAAAGTTAAAAAATAAACGAACGAACGAAGGAATATATAGTGAAGCGAGTGAAGAGTGTGAGTCCGGGGAAGGGAAGTGAAGAAATCGAGAGAGTAAAGCCAAGGACCTTGATAATAACAAGATGCATAACGGTCAAGCATTTGAAGAGCGTAAAATGAGAGAGAGAGAGAGCGATCTCTGGCGTTACTCGTCTTGCTCTTACTAGATCCTTGGTTGAGCTCATCCCCACCGATAAATTTTTTCGTCTCCATTAATGCAATGAAAATCTGGAGAGGCAGGCGAGGAACTTGAGTGATCGCGGCAATTGGCAAAGTGAACTTTGATGTGTAAATATTGAAACATTCTGCACACGACTTAAGCACACATGATTTTTGTTCTGATTCCATTTTAAGTCTGTTGGAGCAACGTTGTTGATTATTATTTAAGTTTAGTTTAGTGCGAGGCTACAGGAGGGTTAGCAGAATGAATGTTCTTTCCAAGGCGAACGATGTATAGATGTAGATGGGGGGAGGAGGAGGAGGAGAGATCTTCGGTCAGTAAATGTATAGAACCTAAGTCTAAGGATATTCGTGTGCGTGTATGTATAACTATATATAACTATTACCAAGCAAGCTAGTTACAATATGGGTGTATTTATTAATCCTTTTTTTTTTTTTTTTATTAACCGTAACACTAATCACAAATATATGCGTAATTAGCGTTCGATCGGGGCTAGCGAATAAACGGAAAGCGGATCGGGAGAAACCAAAGTGTGTGTATAAGCGAGAGATAAACAATACTACCTATCTATCGATTACCGAAACAACTATGTTAAATGTATATCGTAATAATCGAAATAATCAGATCTAAGTAAGAGCGATAACTTCCCATACTCTTCGTTCCCTCTTTTTTTTTTATACCGCATAAAGTTTAAATTATAACAAGAAAAAAATCAAAAATATCTAAAATGTAAGATAAACAAATCCCCGCTTAGACTTATACATATATACGTGCATATATAAATAACAACACACACACATACACACACCGCATACTCAAGCCAAGAACGGTGTAAGGATTAGGCTGCGTTACGCATCTTAAGCTTTATATTGTCCTTGCAACGGCTCAATGTGTGTGGGTGTTTTTTTTCGGGACAGCAACAGCAAAAGCAAATGCAAAATGAAAGAAATCAAAACTAAAGAGAAACGTGAGAAGGTAAAGCAAAAAGGAAACAATAAATGTAATTAACATTTGAAAAAATTAAACGACAGCAGTTGTGTTTTTTTTTCAGGGGGGGATTGAGGGAGATTCGGGGGTTTTTCCCCGGCCATCATCGATTGTTCCTGTCGCCTGACATTTGTTGACTCTTTCGCTTTTGACGGCCATTAATCACGGCATTGTTGTTGCCAAATTTCCAAATCCACAACCCAGACAGCCGGCAGCCAGGGAGTCGAGGAGGAGGCCTGATAAATGATGCTTCATATTTTTGAGAGCTGATAGCCGAGAGCTGTGTGCTCCGCAATTGAAATAATAAAACGCCACCACACCCCGCCAGGACATGCCGTGAAGCATTGATTAATGAAACTTTAAAAGGGAACACGCGTCTTTTGTCTGCGACGACCGCAAAACTTTGCCATGGAGATAGCGGATCTTTTCAATATATATACCGCAAAACTTTGCCCGTCTTTCCAGGAAGGCAATGGGATTGGTCTCGGGTATAAGGATATCCAAGGAGCCGTTGTCGCTGCCGCCGCCGCAGGCCATAATAATAAAAGTCATTTATAGATTTCGATTTTGTGCACATGTGGAAAAGGACACCCAGTCCCCTTCCCCTGGGGGGCGACTCCACTATAACTTAGACGTTGCATAGTTTTTAGCCTGGGCTGCTTATCAGCACTTTTGTTCAAAGGACACACGAGGGTGGGCTGAGCTATGCGGGGGTGGTTACGTCTCCTGCCTTTGCTCCTGCTCCTGCTCCATCTCCGGGTCCCTTTGTCTTTGCCGACTGGTGTCATAATCAGTATCTCGGTATCGAAATCAGTGCTTATGAAAATGTCTTTTGTCTTGTCGCAAAATGCCCATCAGCCTTGGGCGGGGCCCTATTCCATTTCGTTGTCGTCGCCATAAAAATCCATAAAAATAAATAAAATAAATGTTTCAATTCAGCACGGTCCCTGGGTATGAGGAGATGGAGTGGTCCTGTCAATCATCCGGGGTGAGGAATGCCTTGGAAAAAATATTATGATAAGCCATGAGAAATCGCTGGCATTGCCAAATAGCTTTGCTTCGCTCAGCCTCAGCCTCAGCCTCAGCCTCGACTCTGCTCGACTCTGCTCGAAGGCAATTAAATTCGGTTGACGGCAAGGCCACTTCAGAGGAGAGCTGGCAACCCCTTAATTAAACGGGTTTGCGACAAAACTCTTTTCATGTTTTAATTACGCAAATACTCGGCATAATTCACCAGATGCTATGACAACGTCGGCGACAGCGACAGCGCTAAGCGAAAAATATGCATAAGAAACAATTTGTCTAAGCTGCGGCGGTGCCCCCATATCCTTTCCCAATCCCAAATCCCCTATACCCTTGTGCAGCTACTCCCACGGCATTGTAATGCGACAACACTCGCCACTGCCAAAGCCAAGCTTGTGTCAACTTCAAAGTGGAAATTCCAGAATTCACCTTGCTTGAATATTCCAACTCCAGCTCCAGCTCCTGCTCCTGCTCCAGTTTCTACTGCTTCCACCTGGCATAACTTTAGGTCCTCGGATTGCTTTGTGCAAATTAGTTCAGTGGCATGACCGATTCACTCCGGAATCCCGTGTAAATATTATTACTTGGCTCTCAGGGCTTAGCTCCAAATGCAGTTTCATAGGCAATGTACCTTTGTCACGGTCCAAGTAGTGACGAAGAACACCGAGAGTCTAGGCAAGGCAATAACGAAACTTGTAAAATATTTGTGTAATGTATTTTTAGTTAAAATAATTATTAATCCTCACAGACTTGGGTGCTAGAAGTTGTTAAAGCAAAAGAAGCAATCTTAAGTTTTATTTTAATTAAGTTGCAAAGTTACTGGAAGGATCATCGCAATGCAGGATCATCAGCTGTGATGCTGATCAAGAATATATGTATATGATCTATATTTACATATGTATTTCTATCTATACCTTCACTGCGTTGCTAGCTTCTAACTGAAATTATAATACCCTGCAAGGGTATAACGAGAAAGGAAGCTACTCTTAAGAGTAATTCCTCCTGATGTTATATTTTCTTCCAAGATCCGGAAAGGGAGGAGTACCATTGCTTGTATTTGTATTACCAATCACAGAATCTAAAAGTAGTCAAAGTAACATCCAAATTCTGATTTTGTTGGGCATTATTAAGCTGCAGTGGATGGATCTGCGGGTCTCCTAAGGACACTTGTGGTCCTGTGGAAATTGCGATTGTGATGGCAATGGAATAGTTTTCGCATAGTTCACAATGCACTTGGGGCCAGGCCATAAATATGCGATGCGTTGCCCCACGCCGGATGCCCCGGGCCAATCAAAGGGACGCCGCCTCCCCCCAGCCAAGCTGCCCAAAGCAATGTCCTGGCCATATCCTGACCCACATGTCAAGTGGGGGTTGTCCCCACCAAAACAGGAGCCGGAGTAGGGAGGGGGACGCCTTAGGAGTGGCCAAATGTCAAATCAGCGTCGTTGTCATTGTCGTTTTCTTGGTTCTTCGTCTTGAGGAGAGGCGAAGTCAACCCGAGGAGGACTGGGCAGGAGGCAGTGCGCGAGCGAGCGAGAGAGATGCGTGGCAAATGGCAACGCCCACTTTAGTCGTGGCCCCAAGGACACCCTCCCCCAACTCACCACCACGAGTGCCGAAGGAAAGGCGCCAAGAAACAAAAAAAAGCCAAGCTGTTAGATAACAGAGCTCTGTTAGCCGCAGGAGGCGTCACCCGACCAACAGCAGGACGAACAGCTCTCTCTCACTCTCTGTCTCTCTATCTCTATCGCTCTCTTTCTCTAGCAGGCTGCGCTTTTCCCGCCTGCCCTAAAGTTTGGAGTTGGCTATCTGATGCAGACAAACTACTACTACTACGTGCTGCTCCTGCTCCTGTTCCTGCACCCGAAAGGGTGCTTCCTTTTTCTGTTGCTGCAGCTATTCGTCTTGCTCACTGTCACCCCCTGTCCGCCCGCTTGCCGTTGCAACTTGCACCCCCTGCCACGTGTGGCCAGGTTCATGATTTAATTAAAAACTTTCCAACTGCATGCAGCAAAGTGCACAACCCGCTAAAGCCAGGCCCAAAGGCTCGAGTTCCGGCCATAATGGAGTTGGACTGGGCAATAATTGCTTGAGCCGTGGAATCCTGTTCAGCGGAAACGAAGGCATTTACCAGCCCAACTAAACAAACTTGTAATTATCTACACAGGTATTGCTTACCCTTACCTAAAGAGTATTATTATATTTACAATCGGAAGCAATGCAATGAGGAGTCATTTGTACCCTATGAATAATATAATCTTAAGCTGTATCAACAGTAGATAATAAAAAATATATCTAACTTCCTTTCTTGTTTTATATTATATGTTTTTATTGCTATTTCCGTACACTTAAGTATAAACAATCTAAGCTAATCTGATAGGATCTGTAACTAGAATTTCATTATAGCGAGAGATATGAGTATTAAGAGTCCATTGTATGGTATAACTATACTATACAAGATACAAGATCCATAATATTTACACAATTAGATAACCTGGCCTTTTTTTGATTATGTATTTGTTATGGATTTTATTTATTCCCAAATTGTAGGCCTGTGTATTCCGAATTCCGTGTTTTAAAGCCTACAATCTAGACATTGTCGAGTATCATTATTCAGGAGCTCTTGGCATTCCCGAGGCTTTCACAATAGGCAGTTGGCATTGAGCTTCTGGTATGGCGTCAGATCCTTGGTTATTGAGAAGAGCGCTCCATCGCGCACCATCTTGCACATGAGGGCCCCCAGGTTCTTGGCATCATCAATGCCGGAGTGGGCCCTGCCCACAAAGGCCAGGCCCACGTGGGTGAGTGCATCCCCAAAGTTGGCCGGGCGGTACTTGTACCACGACCGATAGATGGCCCGCACATCGATCCACTGGTTGAAATAGGCCATCTTCTGCAGTCGCTTACGGATGCACTCCTTCTCCAGATAGACGCCAAAGTCCCAGTCCGTCCAGGTGACGAAGGCACAGTTGCCCAAAATGTTCGATTCGCTCATCTTGGGCAAGCTGAGCTGGCGCAGCGGCAGCTCCTGGCGCAGCCACTCGTGGAACATCATCAGGGCCGTCTGCAGCGGCACCCCGGTGTCCACGGTGTGCTGCTGAATGCCGGTCAACTCGGTGCAGTAGTTGCTCAGGCGCGGCGACTCGAAGGGCTTGATGTACTTGTGGAACTCGGCTTCGATCTTGCCCGTCTCCAGGTTGACCAGCACAGCTGGGAATTCGATAATCTCCGACTTGCGGTAGTGCGGCGGAGGCTGATTCTCCCAGCAGGTGGCCTCAAAGTCCACGGCAATTACATAGCTATAGGGCTGCATGGCCTTGGACTCTTTGCCCACCGAAGGCATTACTCTGGCAGCGATTTCGTTTGGAGAGTCCTTGGGACTTGATCTGAATTGTTCTGGATGGGCTCCGTTCACAAATATCGTTTCGACCAGGCCCAGTAGCTTTGCCAGTCTGAGCCAGGCTATCTATGATGTTGCAGCTATATTTTGTTCGATATTTGACTGTTCGATAAACCTTTACTAGATTTGTAAGCCAGAGAGTCACCATCAAATTGGAAGACCAGATTAGGTCCTGCTGACTAAATACCATCATTTACCTGTCTTGGAATTAAATCTTAATATAAAATAAATATAATTTTTCTACTACATTAACTGGAGCTTAAACTAAGTCATCCTCTTTCTCCAGAAATGCAGATTGAAACCGAAATCCGCTCTAGCATTCGGGACGAGCGTCGTTACCTTGGACAGCCCACATAACTGGCTAATTAATGATCTCCGAATGATGAATATATGCTCAGTCGTGGGATTATCTGGCAGTGTGTGCTGGGTCTTAATTGTGCCAGGCGATGGGAGTTAGTGAGCTCACCCAGACTGGGGGGGGATAGTTCCAAGTTGGCCGCTTTGGGGTTGAGATGGGGTGAACGCGAAGCCATGGGGTAATTTGTATGCTGGCGCCATAAATTAGTTAGGCCCAAGGACAGCGCTAAGGATTGGAAGCTTCACGTGCGCCACTCATTTGTCTCGCGTCAGAGCTACAGTCCTGTCCCAGGATCCCTTTTGCCTTTGTGCGGGCACATGAAACTTTTTAATCTCCTACGATTATTCTCGCATTTGCCATTTGTTTACACAAACACACGCACATATCACGGGGGGTGGCTATAAGGTCCGTGTCTATGTTTGAGCTTATCAAATAATGGCAACATTTGCTGCCATTCCCCAACCAACCCCCTCCGCCACCGCCTTGCCACGTTCTAATCGCGGTTAATCTCAAAACAAACGTTTGCCAATTTATTTTCCACTTTAGCTCTGGGAACTTTCTTCTGCCAAGTCCATCCAAGAGACGTAGACGGAGACGGAGACGGAGCCACCCTCCCGGCTCGAACTAATGACTTAATTTATCTGCCACAGGGCTTTCAGCGGGCGCCAAATTAAGTTGATTGTTTCTGTTCGTCGAAAAGCGAAAAACTGAACAGTAAATGAACTGCCGCCCACTCGGACCCGCCCGCATTTGTTTTGGGCCAAGAAAAAATAGAGAAAGAGAGAGAGAAAAGGAGGGGTGAGCATTGGCTTGCTCCCCTGCCTGATTAGATTTACTTTCCCTTCAGCTTTTCCAGCTTGAAAGACTCCAAAACTGAAGGGGAAAGTGGAGCTGGGCATGATGGCTTTTCAATGAGGTTTGCTAGCTAAATTTTAAAATATATATAAATTATATAAAATATATTCTAGTTAAATTTTAAAAATTGTAAATTGAAGCAGGTCATGTTTAAATTTATTCTGCAGCCTAATGAGAGTTGCTTTTGACTTCATTTATAAGAAACCCATTAGTACTCGTATCCTTTTTATATTTTAAGAGTTTTTCAAGCGTTTCATTCTACATTTAAGTATTATAAACACTTTTATTCTACTTTATTTGGATATAAGACACCTATTACTGTTTCAGGGCATCCATTATTTGGTGTCTGCGCCCAACTTGCCACCGCCCTCGACGAGGGTTGGCTTAATCGTTTTGCAATCTGTCGATGATTGCGTATAAATGTTATATCCAATTATGTCCTTCGTTGTTGCAGCTTTCTTCGAGCGCTGGGTTTCTCCGCCCCGTTGCCTTTGTTTAGCCCATAAACATGACAGATATTGGGAAATCTATCATTGTCATTATGCTTCGATTGTTGGAAGCTGAGGCAGGAGCAAGGGCAGGAGCAGGCGCAGGAGCTGGCACAGGAGCTGGACTAGCACTCGGGATGGGCTGGGACGTGTCATTAGCATCGGGCAATTTGTTAAGCTCCTGCGCCTTTAGCGAACTGTCGCTGCCACATGAAACATGCCGCTGATTGTTGTAATTAATCGAATTAACAGCAGGCCACTGGCCCCAGTCCCTGTCCATCCACCCACCATTCAGCCCAGACCCAACCCCATCCTTATTCCCTCCATCTCCTCCTCCTCCTCCTGTTGCCTTGGTGCATTGTCCGGCCTTTGTCTCGCTTCGCTTTGCTTTGAATGCGTAAGCGACGCCTGCATGTGACAGTGATTAGACGGAGTCCTGGCGCCTCCTGCCCCTGCCAGGCAATGAACCGTTACGCATAATCGGACACACACACATACACGCACACTCACCCTGAGCTTGAGCTAGGACATTTGTGGATTCCCTTTCGCAATCATCATTACTATATGTGGAAGCAGAGTATCTGCTGTTCGTCCTGCTGGGGAGTTAGTTCTTGGACTGCTTTGCTTATCTTAACGCCGGATTTGTTTGCTGGCCATTGGCTACTTGTTGGCTTGGAGAAGGGGTAGATGTGTTCTTTGAACTGGCGCCTGCAACTGATGTGGGTGTATCTATCCTTGGGTATCCTGCTAATTAGTGGCCTCCAACTATTTGCTTAGCTGAAAGGGAAAGGCGAAGGGGTTATGATAAGTTTTAAGTTCCAATAACCGGTTTCGAATTGAATTGTGAATCTTTTTTTGATTATTAATAAAGCAAGAGAGAGAAAAGAGTGTGTAATATACTACATACTATATAAAAATGTAAATTTTCAACTAAACCTAGTCTCTATCTCATGTTCATCTTACAAAAACTTAAGCTGAGAGAAGAATCCTCATCTCAAACTCCATTCAATTCGATTTGGAGAACCTTCTCCTGTTAGTTATCCCGTGAAAATCCTGCAAGGAAACTCCCTTTCCCCGGTTCAGCTGGTTCGCGAATAAGTAATCCATTAAAAATTGCCACGGCCATTATTATCTGCAACTCGTATCTGGCAAATGTCTGGCGGCAATCGAAATGGCAGAAACAGGACTACGTGAGGAGGCGCTAGGATCTTGCGAGGCCTGGCAAATGTTGCGCCTTTATTGCCTGTGAAATTAGTATTTATGAGTGGAGCGGAAGCCGAGTCACTGAATAGGCGTCCTGGGAGAGAGCTGGCCAGGATATTAGAAATGATTAAGGCACCTGAAACATTTGCAATAAAATTGAATTATGACTTTTAATATTGGCAAAACACGAAAAAAAAAAGAAAGGAAGGGGAGAAGGGAAAGTAAAGCCACCCCGGGACACAAAGACCTGCAGTCCTGGATCTCTGTTCCATCTCCCAGAAATGGCATTACCAATTACAATTTACTTTAATGGCCACGGCTAATGCCGCAACACTTTGGCAGGACGCGTTCCCGGCCGGGCCATGTGGCAATTAATTTGCATTTCCAAATTGCAAAACGGTCTCGCGGGCGTCGAGCGTGTCCCAAAATCGAACAGATTGCAATAATTACAAGGATATGCCGGAGGAGGAGCGGAAGGGTTGACTACGTACGAAGGACACTCTCTGCTGCGGCCATGCAGCCTGCATTCCTAATGAACTCAAAAGGGGTTAAGGCACAAATTAATGAAAATAAATTGTTATTTGCCCCCCGGCAGCAGCATCCTTCTGGAGCTCTTGAAAAGAAACAAGCGAAAATATAACAAAAAAAAAAAAAAATCCATTTCCCAAATTTAAATAAATCAAACCACAAGCCGATTAGGCTACGACCAGGGTGGGGGTGAAGTCGAGACAGGCCCAGTAATTTCCATAATTAATTTCTTTGCGCTTTTTTCAAGCGTCGCTACGGTTTCTTTTTTTATTCCCATTTTTTTCTTCCATCATTAATAATCAATTTTTTGTGTGGAAACTTGAAAGGCTCGCCATGAGACACCGCAGCAAACAGCAAACACCGGCAATGCCAACAGGATGCAGCACCACAAAAAAAACCACCCTACATTTTCAGGCAATTATCCATGAAAAATCAAGTAAAGTTGTCTTTTAATTTAAGAGAGAAAAACGAAAAGAAAAATCCTTAAAATAAAAATAATTTTAATATTATTAAAACCTGAAACTACAATATTTTTCCTAGTGGAAGGTTGAGCTAAAGAGTCCCAGGAAAAACAGCAAAGAAAAATATAAATAAATCCCCGACGGCCATCGTAGATCACTCCTTATCGAAGAGCATCACCCCCGCCGCGGGGGTCAGAGTGTCCCCCATTTGTTTTAACGCTCACTTGGCGCCGCCGCCCAGAAATCACGCTTTAATTAACCGCAATTATATGCGAAGTCGTGGGCCAGTCCAAGCCAGAACCCAAGAGCTCAAGAACCCAGGAACCCAAGAACCCAAGAACCCAAACCCAAAACCCAGCTTTAGGCTGAGGCGGCAGTCAATAAGGCAAATGACCGCCGGCGGCGGCTAAAAAATCAAGTCAAATTACGTGCTTATGGACGGGAAAATGTCGAAATGATTTACCGTGCATAATCGCCACGGATCCCGCCCTGGCCACATCTTGAGTCACCGAGCCGGGCATTAAAAATACGAGGGGGAAAAAATAGGAAAAGGCTGGAAAAGAAAAAAATTAAAATTTCATTTGGCCATTTGGAGGAGGTGGAATGAGGAGGGTGGCCCGTGTGTATTGAGTGTTGAGAGTGCCTTTTGCCTTGGTCGCTTTTCCTTTTCGCTTTTCCGCTCTCTGCTCGCCGCTTTTCCGGTTGCCGCTGTTTGTTTGCTTGTTTGGCTGTCTGTTTGTTTGCTTGGTTTCATTGTTGTTTGTTTGTTTACTTAAAGCACCCTCCCCCCCGCTGCCGCCGCCCCGTCCAAAATCCGAGGAAAAACAATTCCTTTTGCCTGTCTCGGGTTTATTCACATTGATGTAAATTTAATTTATTGCTATTTACTTGAGCGCTGACCCCGTAATTTATTCGACTCTCTGCGGCTCCTTTCGATATTTCCTCGCTCTACTCTGCGAATAGAGATTAGGCATCCACCTGGCACATAATAGTAAACAAATCCGCATCGCAAATCGCGGCCAGAGCTTAAGTCCGCCCCCTGTCCACCTGGTGATTAATGTGTCTCTGCATCTGTGCTTGGGCCTAGTGGGGAGGAGGAATTCCCCGCTTCGCTCCTGCTTCGAGACCACCATCAGGTGCATTTAATTGCGCGAATTTCGCGCCCAC